AGACAGGCTACCAAATTACTTCACATACACAGGCTTGCTTATTTGGGAGATCTAAATGGCACTTCTTGTATTTTCACTATCAAAATTCGATTGTTTTCCTCTCTACACCGGACCAATAACACTAAACAAACTGCACAAGTTAACACATGAAACTGCACACAAGTCAGGCCCTCGTCCTCTTCCTCTCTCCTAACCAGGGATATTCACTGTTTGTATCTTTAAAATTTCTGAAACAATCAGTTCTCAACAAATCCGGCCCAACAAAATTTCAAGGGGATATCCTGTGCCCCAAATGATTAGCAAATGTCGAAAGGTCCAAGCGCCGTCCTACTTTCCCTTTCCTACGTCCAAAAAAATGAAATGAATTTATACCAATGAGAATTATCCCGGCTTTGCGTTCATCGTTATCCGTGCTCAGCATCAGAGCATGAATCGCACTCTGTAAATTACGTTTTTTTTTTAAACAATCAAAAGCTTCCGCCATGCAAGTAAGGCTTTTCCCCCGAAAAAGCTGCGCTGGGTAAAGTTACCCATTGAATGATACCCTTGACAAGTACCGTTTGCTGGAGAAATTAAAGGGGACCAGTGAGGCAGAAGGATGTGCAGACGTTTGAATAGAGTTACTTGAACTAGCCAATATGAAATCCTGAATGCGCAAGCTCAAAATAGCGGCGAATGGAGAATTCGGCAGCTAGATCAAAGCCAAGAAAAAGTGAAACACAACGAAAGAGCTCATTGTATCCCAGGTATTTCTCAAATTTCGATGAATTCGTATTCCTCTTGGACCCTTCAATGAAATACATTTCATACCTGGTCAATTTTTGCATCAAATGTCGCAAAAAATTCCGCCTGGAACTGATCGCTTTGATCACGTAGCTCACCATTTATGTATCTGAAATATCGTATTTTTCTCAAAAAAAAAAAAAAAAAAATTTTTTTCTGTATTGTATGTGAAACATTTTTCCAAAAATTTTTGCAAACTTTTTCTAAACTTTTGTAATATTATTTCTCTCAAAATACTATTTTTTCAAATTCAATATTAGAAAAATTCCTTTCGTATTACTATCCGTGAAGAGCAAAGTAAATGAAAATAGTTATGAAAGTGATAGCACGTTCCAACAGAAACCGTATTTGCGAACAAAACCCTTTTTGCAAATTTTTGGGGGTCGAAAGAGAATCGAATCATTCCTCTTCAAATCTGGACGCGCGTGCTATCCACTACACCACCGGCCCTTGTGCTCCATACATTTTCTGGAGCAGCTTTAAACTTTGTATATGTGCTACTTTGTATTTTCCAGCGTTGAAACCATTACATAACACATACTTCCTCAAATTCTTGCCGGCTTTTCACGGGTTTTCCGCGATACTCGCTCGTTGGCCAAGGCTTCAGCTTTGATTAATTTTTCCTAAAAAAGCCTAAAATTTTCGATGAAGGTAAAACTTACTCATAGAGCTCCTTGGCAATTTTTATTCGATACAAATCATTTCCCTTCTTTCGCAAACGAGCGAGGAATTCGCTTGCCACTGTATGTGCTGATGTCTCACGCTTGCTCTCATCCATCCTGAAATGCTGGGGATCGAAAGCGATGAAAAATTATAATTCATAAAATTAATCAGTAGCTTGAGAGAAGCCACCCGTGTTTCATCCCTTAGCTGTAAACAAACGCACAGAAGAACGGGCGGTTAGGACTGAGAATCACAGCCCCATACTCGTTCCTTATATAGGCTCGGAACCGATTCAGTGCCAACATTCATCAAAACCATCTGTTCTTTACTAACAATGGTTATTTTGATAAAAAGATGTTTATGGGAGCAGCTACCTAGGAAATCTGGCGAGATGAATCGAAACAAAACAAAAGTCTTACCTTACTGCCTACTCTTTGTTGCAGAGTGTACCAAACATCAGACTTTTGCTGAATATCAAGCAAAATTCAACGTTTGCAAAATCTGAACTGCGTGAAACCGACCTAAAAAAAATTGGAAATTTTCGAAAAATTAAACAAAAAAATTGCTTTCGTGCGAAAAATCGATCTGAAGGCTTTAATTAGTTGAAGCAGGTGAAGAGCAATCCTAAGAAAGCTCAAATTTGAGGTTAAACTTCATCAGTTTCACTTTACATACAGCCATTTTTCCCCGGGTTATAGGCGCGGATCCAGAATGGAATTCTCAGGGCGAAGGGGGAGGGGAGAGACCATTTCACCTTGGAACTATGCAAGAACTAGGAATAGAATTGTAATAGAAAAATATTTAAAAGTTGGAGGAAAACAAAGCAAACAATATTAAGAAATAATTAAAAGTTATAAAATATCTTTATAAAATATAATGGTAAGAAATGTTTTGGCCCACTAAGTCGTATAAATTTCTTAAATTTCTTGCAACACTGCTATTTTGAGTTATTTTAGGCTTTAGAGAGTTACTTTGGGCTCTCAAAATCCGCCTATTGTCCTACTGTTAGGTTTTCGGAATCCCGATATTCGTTTTCGCTTACTGAACAGCGTACCATCTCGGTGGTCCCTGCGCCAGCAGTACTTGACGGGGCTTTTAAAATGTCCTTCGTATATGTCCAGCAGCACAGTCTCGCTCCGAACACTGTCACTGCTAGGCCAGACAGAGCGGACCAGAACGGACCAGAACTGGTCCTAGCGACAGCTGAGGGGCGGAGCGGAAGCGCAACAGCGCGAGAGGGTGGGCGGTCTATACAAATAACGAGCAGCGTCCCAAACAGGTAAAGAGCAATATCTTATACAGGTAACCAGCCAACCTGGAATGTGTAAATGCGACCCGCTACCAGGTAGAGGTGAGGCACAGCGAAGCACCACGCCGATCAGAAAGTGGAGAACTTCAGGAAGTGCGTTACTTGAATACTTGAATACTGCTGTATGTCATCGACGTTCGTTATCGTGCTTTGTCGATGCAGCACTGGCAATTTCTCCATTCAACTCGTTGTTGCGTTATCCGAGTCCACTTGGTACCTACAGGCGTACCGTGGGGTTTCCCCACCTCATCGGTGGGCCTCGCCAGTGTTCGCTTGACTGTGCGCGGATACCATTCAATTATCCACTTCGTTCATCTATTATTATCGGTCATCCATGTCACATGACTAGCCCGTTTAAGGTTGAAGAAGAAAAAATATAAGGAAAAATGATGGAAAACATGAAAAGAATTATTAAAGTAGGGGTAAGAAATGTTTCGGTCCCCATTAAGTCGTATACATTTCTTACCGTTACCACAACTGGACTTCGTCGTGAAGTGCGCTATTTTGAGCAAAAAAACCCTCCCAGGGAGCATTTTTCCCGTCAAATCGCAGAAAACAGGCGTAAAAATATTCCGAAGTGAAACACAGTAAAAACCCACAGCAGCCCGGCAGCTGAACTCCCCACGTCGCTACGTCAGGTACCACACGTGGCACAGCGCTGTTCCACTGGGTGCAGATCCTGGCACGTTTCCATGAAACGCGTTGTTTTTGCATATTCATTAGTTGCGTGGCACGGCTCGGCCATTAATTTTGACGTGGCGTGTACGTGGACTGGTCGGTGGCAATGTGCTGGGCGCTATTCAGGGGTTTTCTTCGCCAATACCATGTGGGATCAGTGGCGCCATTCTTGTTTTGCGCGTTTTTTGCATCTATGCAATGCAAAAATGCATATTGTCGAAAGGGTGTGTGTGTGCGCCTATGTGTGTGTGTATGTGTGTCTGCATGTGTGTCTGTACTAATTTTTCATCTCGAGACCTACAAAAACTACAGTACTGAAACTGGCAACTTAGTCTACATTCATGTGCGGATCTCGTTCCTCAGAATGGATGCTTTTGCCCACATGTTTCCCACATATGAACTGTAAAAGTTTTTGGCGCATAAGCTCGAGAATCAGAAAGCTAGAAAGCTGAAATTTCAGGGGAATGTTTTTTGACAGCCATGGTGGCCAGTCTCAATTCTTTTAGCTAGAAACATCTGCGGAAAAAACAATGCCGTTAGCGACCGAAATTTGCGGGGAACTATGCAAAAAACGAATTTTCGCACCGGCAATCGGTGCACTGGTCAATTACATTTTTTGGGAAATCTAAATGGCACTACTTCCACTGTGTTTTCATTAATTATCAAAATTCTGCTGTGTTCCTCTCCACGGTGGTGGGCCAGCAACGCCAAACAAACTACATATGTTAACGCGGTAGACGATTTCAGACGCCCCCGTCCTCTTCCAGCAGCCCCTAGCCAGGGAACATTCATTTTTTTTATCTTTAAAATTTCTACAACACCTCAGCAGCGTCTGGTTGTTATTTTTATTGTCAAAGTCCGTTCACTCAAATCTACATTAGAATCGGGTTGGCCCTGTATTTTTGCAAAAATTTTTCAAAAAAATAATAGTTTTTGTGTGTGTATGTGTTTCAGGAAGTCACACTGGCGTCCTCGGACGGCGAGGAAGAAAGCATGTACTCCACGCACAGTGGGCAGAAACGCGGACTTTTGAGGTGCATTTTTCGCCTATAAATGGACCGAAACATTTCTTGCCAATTTATAAAATTATTAACATTTTTTCCCTGCCTTTGTGTTTTTATTTAAATTAAAATGGATTTATTTGATCCAGTTTATCCATCCTTTTTTTCGCGCATTGACAGCACCGCATATTGCAGGCCATATGGAGCTGCTGGCACTGGGCCAATCTTCCGAAATCTGCCGCTTTTTGGATTCCTTGCCGGGCTGGTGTTATTTTTCTTCTTCTTTTATGTCTACCAGGCACAGAGTGCGGAGCTGAATCTGGTGCGCGATCAAGCCGAATTTGAGAAGGCCCAGTACTCGAAAATCAAGGCTGACAACATTGGTAATCACATGGATGTCTGTGTAGAAAAAACTCCTTGCCTGTGTTATTAGTGGAGATCTTGCTGTGTTTGTTTTCTCGTAGCATAACAGCTTTAGAAATTACGTTTCGGCCCATTAACGGCCGCAAAAAATTTTTCACCTATTTTGGCCGTTTTGCATTGTCCATGTACCATTGTGATTTATTTTAAAGAATCTTTTTTTATTAAGTGTGCGGAAGGGCAAAATTTCGGGTTGAAAGTTCAAATTTGGGTTTAGATAATTAAAATATTTTAATTTTGGGAGAAGAAAAAGCTCGTCATAGTGTTAAGAAATTAATAAAACTTGAAATTTTTTGTAAAATATATTATAATGGTAAGAAATGTTTCGATCCATTAAGTCGTATAACTCCTGAAAATTGGCAAACATTTTTAACAGTCTTACTAGCAAAGAGTTGATTTTGGCAATCTGTGGCGGTTTTGAGTGCTTCCATCGCTCACAGAGAGAGAGAGAGAGAGTGAGTTGTGGAAAGAAAAGGACAAGGCGAAGGAGAAACATATATCAGAACTGTGGTTAAATGAGCAGTTAAGAAGTTTACGGTGCCATGTTTTGAGTAGCTTACGGTGTTATTTGTTGAATTAAGAATAATTTGAAAGCGAATTTATGCAGCAATATAAATTCACAGCATTTACGCGGTACTTTTTCAGCTTTGAAAGCGCAATTGGAGAAATACAAAAGCACTGAACTGCGTCTGAGAAAAGACTTACAAATGGCTCAAATGGGCAAAGATGGTATGATTTTTGATTTTTCGTTATGTAAACTTTATATTTTTCCGTATTTGATTATCAGGCCGAATAAAAAGAATGACTGCTGTTCTTGGGTTGTCATGAGATTCGGGAATCAGCAAACAACAGGTAGTATTTTGGGCGAAAACATTATTAATGTCTAATAAGTTTAGTCTGTTGCTAAAGTAGAACGAAAAGGCCAGAGTGAATGGTCATTTTATGAAGTTATGAGGCTTTTTTTTTTCGAAACTGTCCTTGTTTTGGTTACAAAAATGATATTTTTCTGCCCCCCTCCCCCCAAATATTTCTGCTTTTATTACTTGTCCGTGAAAGTGAAACAAAACTGATCCGATTTTGTGAAGATATGTTAATCCGATGCTAAGGATGGCGGAGAAGAGGACAGTGCTGCTTAGGAAAGTACATTCAGTTGATTGATAAACAAACAAACAAGGGAAAAAAGCAAACAAAAAGGATTAGAGTGGATAAAACAAGAAAAAAATTTAAAAAAACATGGGACAGTGCATGGTAAGCATCAGCAGGTTGCAGCACATTTCCAATGAAATATTGCGATTTTGGTCCGGTTTGTGGCGCATTTTTAAGTCTGCTCTGCAAAAATTGGATTTTTATAGCCATTGATTGCTAATCGGTTGCGATTCTGAGTTGGAATTGGTGTAAAATTAACTGTTACCCTAAGCGAACTGTGTTGGCATCTTTTTTTTTTAGATTGCAGTACGGAGCTGAGAAAAGCAAATGATCAATTGCAGGCTTATGTCCCTGAAACGGAAAGGCTGCGCAAAGAAAAAATGTAAGTTGTGTGCTTTTTTCCTTTGTGCTTAGTAATTTTGCCGCGTTTTGATATTCTGATCACTTGTTATTTCATCGTAGGCTCATTTTCGTGCCATTTCCTAAATTCATACTCTTTCCACCCGTACTGTAACAGACATTGGCGAATCCGGGGGAGGGGGGTCAGGTTT